CAAAGAGGTGTGGGATATAGCTATTAATGATAAATTAACATGTACCATTAAGGTAAGACAGGGAATATGCAGGAGCAATGATTTGGAGGGTGTTTGTAGAATGTGTACTGTTAAAGTGGAAAGGGGGGAAACCATCGCAAGAGGTGTTGAAATTTCTGGAGGTTGGATAGTTACAATAGAATGGTCCTCAGTGGTGGGGTGAACATTTTTATTTATGATTATTACTTTGTCAAAAATTAAAATCCTCAGTAGCAGCCGAGACCTAACCAGTGCAGCATTTCCCCTGCTTCATCCGTTGCTTTCCTTACTACAAGGCTGGACAGCTCCCTGAATGGCTCGGTCTTTGGATGTTCTGGCCCTGCTGGACAGCTCCTCTTCCACAATGAGTAAAATTGTGTGCATGAATGGAATGGGCAAATGGACCCATGCCACACAGAAACCTATGAAAACCAGGCCTTTATTCATTATTTTCCTTCTGATTTTTAAAAAAGCTTATTGAATAAAATTATGTACATGTGATTACAGACACCTAGGAAAGAATTTTTCAAGGACAACTTTTTATCATACAAGCATGAATCACAACAATGAATATTGGAGAATATCTATCTATCTATCTATGGTATTTGTTAGGATGAGCATTCATGTAATGATTCCAATATCACATACATGTGTCAATACTTTTCATATCTCACAGAACATCATAGTGGTGACCCCTGTGATATCCTAAAGGTTTGTTTTACTTTTCTCTTTTTAGTTGCCAATAATGGTTTTCTAGAATGTACTTTAAATTTGTTCCTTAGAACATGGGCATGTCCAATACGTAGGCTGTGGGTTTCAGCTCCCCACTTCTTTGGATCCTTTCTTTCCAAAGTGAAGCTGGATTGCCCTCCAATCCTATCTCACTCACACTGCGAATTTTCCATAAATTATTTTTATTTAAGAGTGGATTAATGAAAATAATAACCAAACTGAAGAAAGAACACAAGGTCTACATGAAGACGAATGGGTAAATAAGCAGAAGTCGCCCGATAATATAAAAAACAAATGGAAATATGAAAGTGAGAAAGTCAAAACATAATTACGCAGCCATAAGCACCATATGTGATCATCAGATGCTTCTGAAAGAAACAGAGGGAGATGGTATTTATGAATGTGAAACAAATCTTTCTGCTTCACATGCTTAGACAGGAATCCTTCCCACCATACATTCAGATAATTCAGACATTCGTTTGTCTGAATATATTAGCACTGCAGCAGAAGTTAAAGTAAGCTTAGCAAGCTTCCTTTGCTAGTGCTTTCCCCCAAGAAACTGAAGTGCTACTGCAGGGAGTCAGGCAAGACCTTGGCGCACCTTCTTTACAATGGAATGAATGCACACATACTAAGCATGAATTAGAGCACAAAATTGAACTTTAAGTACCTGAAGTTTGCCTTTGTCCTGTTTATGTAGATAACCTTGAATTAGTAGCCCCCAATAAAGCTGACATGGAGGTTAAGCAGGACCCAATCCACCCTTAGTTGTGAATTGTTAAGGCACTTACCTGGCTCCTAGAAGACTGCTATATTCTGCTACAGTCTACATTCTTACAACTTCATGAAATGTACTGATTATGGCTCTCTTAAGCTCCATGTAAGATAAGCCCATACATTTGCTTAAGATACTCATTCCCTGTAGCCCATAATCATTATTTGTGCACTAAATGTGAATGCCAAACACAGACATGCTTGGATACACCCCACACTTCTGGAATCCTATTAACCTGGAGGTCCACCAGTTCCAAGTGTGAGAAGCTTCTAGAAGCAACCCAAATCAGTAATGGAGCAGAATAGTGCTTGTTATTGACATACTGTGAACTAGCTTTGATACACCGATCTGTGATGAGCGTTGACGGTTCCTGTATGGTCCTACATCACAACCAATGGGATGTAAATTTGAAGATTAAGATGGCACAGATAGCATGCTGCCCACACCCTACTCTGCAATTGGCTGTTTATCAAGCCATAACAATTAACTAAAAATCATCAACCAGCTCCACACTCATGGCTATGATATACTGAAATGGACAAGACAGCACAATGAGCTAAAATGTGGAATGATGGTGGAAACAAGTAGTAGGTTTTGTAATTTGTAATTTATTTCTTATGTGGATTCACTTTTGTTGGGATTTGTAAACCACTGTTCAAATATGAAGCAATATATAAATAAAATTAAATAATGACAACTACCTTGCAGACAAGTAGGAACAATTTCACAAGAAAGTAAAGTGGGAACTTTCCACTCCTGTTGCTCCCTGTTATTTTCACTCAAGTTTCTACTCCATCCCATTTTAAAAAAGCTCTGCTTCTGCTTTCAATTCAGATGTTTGCCCCCATTCCAGCTCATAAGAGGGACTCTTCTGTCTCCATGAGATCCCTCACTGTCTGTAGGCACCTCCCATCCCAAGGTAAAGCTTTTCTTTATTTTGGCGTTTGGGGGAGCAGAAGCTACAGGTGGCTTTTTGAGTGTACACTTGAAAATCCCATCCAGGTTACTGTGCATTCAGCATAAACACTTGAAAAACCAAATCTATTTTTGCATGAAGACACTCAGCCCTTCATTTACCCCCAGTTTACTTCTTCCCTCACTCTCGGCTCCAGTATAATCAAACTGGAGTCACTGGAGCATGGTGGAACTACAGAATTGCCCCTCAGAGTCCTTCAGAGGGATGACTGGGAGATTTTTGCCCCTAGCTCAGTAGATACTCAACTACAAAGCAGAATAATACATTGTCTTGACTGAATATTGAATAGAATTCCTAGGGTTTATCATGGCGGAGCATTGAAAAGGCTGACTGCTTTAACTATATAGCCACTTGCATAGTTGTATAATAGCAAATTAGGTATGTCATGTGAACCTGTTTCTTTTCTAGTAAGGAAAAAAATACTTGTGGTTAACACCCAACTCTTTAAATGCTGTCACTGGTTTTGAGGTAGGGAAGGGAGAGCCAATCATAGTTTTTGAGAAGATTGATATTGTTTTTTGACTGGGAAGAATGGCAGGTCCAATAATAAATTGTGCAAGGGAGACAGGAGTTTGATGATGAAAAACTTCAAGTTGCAAGACTTCAAGAGATCAAAAAGAGGATTGTTTGAGAGCCTTGTTATAAGTCTGACCTTTATACAATCTTTCAAAAAGAGAACATTGGGAGGGGGGGACCCTAGTTCATTGCAGAGATTATAGGAATGCTGAAGAAATACCGAGAATCGTTACAGATCCAATCTAATTTGGAGAGAATGTGCACTGTAAAACGAGCGCAAATCTATAAATGCAATCAACTTGGTTAGTTCTTTTCTTTTCTTTTTAATCAAGTTCTGTTGACTACAGCATATGGAAGAATAATATTCTTTCCCCAATAGACTGACCTTCACCTAAGATTCTGGAATTATAAAAAGAAGTCACAAGAGCATGGGATAGAATTCTCCATAAATATCACAGGTCATTGTCCCTCAGCAATTATACTTAACTTTGCCATTGCTTCTGGCAAGATGCCACTAACACCAATACTGCTTTCAAGCATACAGGATGACCATCTTAACATATGTTAGGAATGGGGCTCATCCCCTTACTGTCTTAGAAAATGCTTTCCCGAAGGCTAGAACATGATGGATGAAGAATGGTTCAGATGTCAAGGAAAGGAATAAGGCTGGTGTGCCAAGCAGCAACCAATAGCAGCTTTCATTTACAGATTCCTGTTTCATGCGCAATGCTAAACCATCACTTGCTGCAAACATATGAATGTGCAGCTTCCCAGAGAGGAGACTGCAGCTGCTGTGCTTCTCCCATGGTCCTCTGCTGTTGTGCTACCAGAGACTAAGCCATGGCTTGATTTAGCATGCTGTCCCACCCTAGGCTCACAATTTGTTTTGTCAGAGCTCATTGTTTGTCTGGAGAAGGCAAACCATGAGCCCAGGGTTCAGTCAGCATGCTAAGCCAAAGCATGGCTAGCCCTGGGAAGGACAGCAGCTAGAAGGTCACAGGAGACACAAAGCAGCTGTGATCTCTTCTCCAGGAATCCACACATATGTTCTAAGCCATGGTTTGATTTGTCTTGGCATGGCATTATATGCTAATGGAACCGTTCTCTCCTTGCTTCCCTCCCTGTGCCTTGTGGCTCTGAAACTGTACGCCACACACATTGTATTTGGTTGCAAATGAAAATGAGTGAAGGAGATCTTGCAGATTGCAAACATTCAAAGTAACACTATGAGCTTGTTTGAATAAAAGAAACAGTATTCTCCTCATAAATAGTATGGGCCATGACAGCTTCTCAGAAAGCAGCCCTTCTAGCCATACCCAGCCAAGTGCTATCCAGACCCATCCACCCCAAATATCTATGAGTGCTGCTCTCACAGGTGGTGACAGCGCTGCTCTACGGGACAGGCAAAAGTAGGTACCACTCATTAAAAGATGTGAAACTTAGAGGCAGGGGAACTTTGTGGCTTCCTCAGAGATGGGTATCCAAAAAGGGGAGGATCAAAATCTGTTCCTAAAGCTGCTCAACCTGAATTCATGAATCCAGATTGCATTGAATTAATCAGTTGTTCCCTAACTGTGCATTGTGTGAGAAAATAATTCCTTAGCACTGAATATTTAGAAGGCAGTTCACACCACCATCAACACCATCACATACTGCAAAGCAACAGAGATTTTTCATTTCTTCATTAGAGTAAGAAGAGACCAATAGTGCCATTAGGGATTCTGTGCACTATGGATGCCATATGTCTCCATCAACTAAATGCATTCTTAATGGAAAGCTCCTGTTGAGAGAAATCTGTACTAAAGATTTGGATGTTTTGTCCAGAAGCAAAAACCACTTTGCCCAGATTAGTTTTGAGTCTTGCTTCATCTGTGCATCTTTAGATGTAGGAACTGAATCTGTCCATTGGTTCATCTAGCTCAGCATTGTTTCAGCAGACTCGCAGTAGGTCTCCAGGATACAGGCAGGGTTCTCTCCTATCCCTAGAGATGCCAGGGATTGAACCTGGGACCTTCTGCATGCAAAGCAGATGTACCACCACTGAGCTACAGTTCTTCCCCATCTAGAGATGCTCATAAGTGTTGGTGAAGAGAATGAGACGTTGAGACGTCATCAACAGAATGTCCCACTATTTGACACAACCTATGCTTGACTCTTGGGACGTGGGTGGTGCTGTGGGTTAAACCACAGAGCCTAGGACTTGCTGATCAGAAGGTCGTCGGTTCAAATCCCCGCAACAGGGTGAGCTCCCGTTGCTCGGTCCCTGCTCCTGCCAACCTAGCAGTTCGAAAGCACGTCAAAGTGCAAGTAGATAAATAGGTACGACTCCGGCAGGAAGGTAAACGGTGTTTCCGTGCGCTGCTCTGGTTCGCCAGAAGCGACTTAGTCATGCTGGCCACATGACCAAGAAGCTGTACGCCGGCTCCCTTGGCCAATAAAGTGAGATGAGTGCCGCAACCCCAGAGTCGGTCACGACTGGACCTAACGGTCAGGGGTCCATTTACTTTTTACCTTTTTATGCTTGACTCTTAAGATTCTAATATCTTGGAAGATTCAACATAGCCCGACAACTCTGTACTTTTAAACCTGATCTGAATTGGAGTACTCTAATATCAAAACATTTGTAGAAAAGATCTGATGTCTTTTGTTAACCTGCAAATGGCTTATCCAGTCAGAGGCTGGGAATGATTGCTTCTTTCAAACACTGCCATGTCTGGTCTGTGCAGTTGTCTTTCAGATTAGCTTTCTTAGACATCATTTACGTTCTCTTCTCACTGAAAACTTAAAACTCAAACATATTTTTCTGTTTTGTGGGCATCTGGGGCAGGGAGGGAATTCTTCCACAGTGGATTTCAACAAAACCCAAAGTATGAAGTTCGTGCCTGCATTTTTGCCCTGGCAAAGTAAATGCAACAGCCCCATGACAACATTTGTGTTTGTGTGTGCACTCAGTGAGATTTCTTTAGCCATGGAATAATTTTCATCAACACTGCATTTCCTTATCTGTTAATTTTTACCACCCCTTATCATAGTTTTTTCTTTGCTTTTTATGAAATGGGACGTGTGCAAAAATTTCAGTTCACAATGACCCCACCCCACCCCTATGAAGAGAATTATGCAGCCCTTTATTCAGAAGCATTTTGGATCATGGCTATCACATCACACAGTGCCACAAAGGTGTGCTTATGCTCTGAACCTTCACTATTTCTTTAAATATTTATATCTATCATAATACTGTGCATGTCTACTCAAAAGTAAATTGCACTGAAGTCAATGGAACTTACACCCAGGAGCCTGGGCCAACAGTCATGTTCAGATGCCTATAGATATAGATATATAAACCTATGATAGTTAATGAGCTAGTTGTCATGTAATGGTAAAGGTAAAGAGACCCCCGACCATTAGGTCCAGTCGTGGCCGACTCTGGGGTTGTGGCGCTCATCTCGCTTTATTGGCCGAGGGAGCCGGCGTACAGTTTCCAGGTAATGTGGCCAGCATGACTAAGCTGCTTCTGGCAAACCAGAGCAGCACAGAAATGCCGTTTACCTTCCCACTGGAGTGGTACCTATTTATCTACTTGCACTTTGACGTGCTTTCGAACTGCTAGGTTGGCAGGACCAGTTGTCATGTAAGCATGATATATTAAGAAATGTGTTTAATGAGATTCCTTTTTCCTTGAGTGGTGTGTGTGTTTTCTCTATTTTTAACTCTATTTCAGTATTAGAACATGTACAGTACAATTCTACTGAGGTTTACTCAGAAATAAGCCCTACTGAATTCACCGGGACTCACTCCCAGGTACATGAGATTCATCCTCTTTGAGCTAAATAGGACCTTCATCTAAGCATACAAGAATAGAGTGGCACTGTTAGAGAGTGTGCTGTTTTGGTGCCCTCCACTTTTAAATGACCTCTTGACATTTTAAAGGCAAAACATGCCTCCTGCCTTTAAGTGTTGTGGAAATGTAGTGATATGAAGGATAAATGGGCTTCTCCTGCTGCTATCTAGCTCATCAAAGAAAACTCTGTCATTTTGCAAGCCAAAAAAAAATAAAATCCGTATTTCAGGAATACTGCTGACACGATTTTATAGCCCAACACCGGTGATAAAATTCAGCTTGAAATCTCCTTACATATAAACATTACTTTTCTTCTCCTGGAGTTCTGTGAAAAGCAATCATGGTATTACTGTCAACCATGGTAAAAGTAATCTAACAAATATCCTCTGTGCTTACCTTTTTATTAGTGTTTCAGCAGCAGTGCTATATACTGCAGTTATGGTTGAGATGGCCATTCCATTCTAAGCCTCTATTTTCAAGGCTTACAATTTTCTTTTAAAAATTACCTTTTGCACTGAAATTTGTTGTGCCTAGTCAGCCTAACAATGATGATTCGTGTTTGTGTGTGAGAAAGAGAGACAGAGAGAGAGAGAGAGAATGAGAGAGTGCACATGCTGCTAGGTTTTGAAAGAAAAACCTTTTGGGTATTTGGTGGGGGGGGGGTTCTAGTCAAGATCTTTTTGATATTTTTATACTATTTTGCTCTGCGCATCAATTAATCTAAAACTTACCACTCAGGAATCTGAACATCATGGTCTTTGCCCAAATTTGGGTTTGAAAAAGGGACCACATCATGCATTTGTAGCATTCACTATGCATTACTTCATCTACAACAAACATAACAGAAGTGGAGTACAATAATAAAAACTCCAAAAGTTCTACTGTAGTGATTTAATTTTTCTCCACTGTACACAAACCACAGGAACTGATTAGATCAAGAACTGGGCTCCATTAGGAGAAAGGCCTGGATATTCATTTAATAAACAGAAAAAGCATCAAGCAGCTAAAATAGCTTCAAAACTAAAATTCAGATGTATTAATTCTTCACAACCACCAACCACTCTTACATTTATCCCACATAACAGAGCTATAATACATGTATAGAAATATGTCAACTGGGCTTACTTTCAGGGCATATGCTAGTTCTTGCCAGATAACCCCAAACTGAAACCATACCAGCCTACAACTGGTACAGTGAGAAATACCAAACTTCTGAAAAGATGCAGACTGAGCAGGTTTGTCTCATTCCTTTTACCTTAATCTGCTATTATAATAAAAGTTTTGCATAATGTGTTCCTGTTTTGCTAGTCATGAGAAGCTATAAAGGGCACTGAAATTGTGCCCCAACCTTAGGATTCCATCTCCCTCCTGGCTTGTTAAGATTCCAGCAGACATGGCCTATAAACCTTCAAGAACATCTTTGCCACCACAAGAGCAAGAAACAGGCATTTTTTATAAAAAGAAAAAATAAAAAGCTGAAGTTCTACAGCGGATAGCACATTTTGCTCATTTCCTGCACTCTCAAAGAACTATAGCATACAACACACAGGATGCAACCCTTAGGACCTAACCCATATTACATGCAAATGAGTGCAACCGAAACCTTATGACCCTTATTTTCTTTCCCGGGGAAAAATCACTTTGGGAGGGAGAGATTTGAAGTGAAGAAGTAAGAGGATGTCTAATCCTTTCCCTATGTGCCATTATTCCACTCTAAGCTTGCAATCCTAACCACGTCTGCTCAGAAGTAAGTCCCACTGAATTCCATAGAGCTTTCTCACAGCTATGTGGGACTAGGGTTGTAGTTTAAATCATCATCTAAGCTCCTCCCCCAAGCCCCATCAGGTTGTGAATGTATATTGAGAACCATTCGATTCAGAGTGGTAAACTGAAGGTCAAACTCTCTCTCTCTCTCTCTCTGTGTGTGTGTGTGTGTGTGTGTAAGTCTTCTCCATCTGTGCCATTTTCCAAATTGAATTATCTCCCTCAACCTGAAGCTGGGGGTGGGGAGGTGTTTTTCATCTTGAGAAGATCTAAGTGAATTCTGTAATGATGAAACTATTTGATCCTTGAGTAGCATGACAGCTTGTAACGAAATGTGGGCAAGTCATTCTCTAATTTTAAGTGACTAGACAATACACATGTAGTTGACTTTGTCATAAATCATAGCATCAGGCTAATATGACTCACACCTGTGTCATATTAAGAAATTCTCTACTATCGAAAACAGTTTGTGTTGATCCATATGTGTGGTATGCCATAGCTTCTTGCCCATGGAACCTCATCAGCTTCATTCTCTACTACTAGTGAGACCCTTCAACAAAATGCTGTAGGGTATCCTCACCTCCTATCAAATATTGTTGAACTTCAGCTCCCATCACCCCCGACCATTGGCCATACTGACTAGGCATGAGATGAGCCCAAGAACTTCTGGAAGGCCATAGGTTCCTTATTCCTTTCCTAACAGGTGTGTTGCTGTTCAGCCATACACTCCATTCCACTACCCATCTCTTCCATTCTACTTTTCTACTTGACATTCAACATTCCATGGCTACTGAGCATGCTCAGTTTGGAAAGTGATCAATGCAATCTTACAGTGAATAATTATACATTCACTTTCTGGCTGCATTCACATGGCATTATATTCCATTTCCCAATGTTTCCCTAACTGTTCATTTCTGGATTTCACTTGATATAAAAGCCACTTCCAGAAATCTAGCAGAATATGCAGGAAGTTAATGCTAATTTCTAGTTGAACTGGTTAAAAAAAACACACAAAAACATTTGCAACCATGTTGAACCAGAAAATCACAGGAGGGAAATGACAAAATTTGGGGAGGTATGCCAGCATACAGCTCCTCCCTGTCATCTTCATGGCACGGATGCGTGGAAAGGGTGGGGAGTAGCAACATGTTTCAATTATGTTCAGGGTCGTGTCGCACTGCTCCCACTGGTGTGAAAAATTTTTAACGTGATATGCCAGTAAATTGGTCAAAAAGCAACACTTCCATAATGCAACAGGCCCTGCAATGTGAAAGGAATATCAGGAAATGGGACAGAAGTACTGCAATCAGGAAAACTGACGCAATGTTCCCCACATGCCTCATGATGCTGATTACTCAGTCAGTCTAGACCCCCTTTAGGAATCCTTCACTCCAGACATTTAATATGCATCCATTAGCACTCAGGCTTTCACAAGAGGTCATTACAGTTCAAA